CGATGCTAAAGTCAGTACAATGTGTAAGAAGAAGACACTATGCAAGAGAGTTTGTTGCTTGAGGCTTTTATGGAATATATCAGAATATATGAATGAACATATGAATCTATGAATGAATCAGAATGAATCTCGAATGAATCAGTATGAAGGCTTTTATACCTCATCATACATGGAGAGGTTGGGCCTTAGCCCAATTGGCTTGCTTTGTGGGCTGACCTTTGACTTTAGCACAATTGGAGAGTTGAACCTTGACCTTGGGCTTTTAATTGGATCATTTAGTGCTTAGGCCCAATTGGACTAAATTGGACCCAAACAGAGATAATGTTGGGGAGGGGGGGGGCGTTGAAGGGGATAGAAGAAATCTTGTGTTATTTAAGGGGAAGGTTAAGAAGATGGTATTTAAGAAGGAATACATCAATATTATACCTAGCCACCTAGGGACAGGGATAAGGATTATATTAGAAAAGACAATCTTATTCTTAGCTTAATGAAAAGAAGGTTAAAAAAGAGAGAATTAGTAAGGATAAAATAAGGAAAAAATAATTTTCTACATAACTTTGGCTATGTTTTGTTCACATGATTTAATCTGATCTGAATAAGCTAATTTATACTCGTAAGATAAAAAATTTATCAAATAAGATTTCGTTAGATTTGTATTGATACTGTATATATTTTTCAAATATTATATTTTCATATGTGTATTATTTTTGAATTACTCCGTATGAAAATAAAGATATCACAAATTTTTATATGTGGCTAGCCACATGGTGTGGTCACTTCACATAATCACATATAACGCAATTAATTAAGTAATAGGGGTCACGGTGATGAGCAAATGGGGTTTTTTTTTAACGTATATGTAGATTCCTTAAATGAGAAAAGGGGTTACTCTCTTAAACAAATGGAATTATTCTTTCATTTTTTAAAACAAAAGAATAAGGGTTACTTGAATGAACAAATGGGGTTACTTATTTCTAAATTACTTGATTTTACTCGCATAATGAATTTGGGTTACTTTTATGGACAACATGGGGTTACTCTTATAAAAAAATGAGTTTACTCATACCATTTTTTTTTTTGGTGTTCCACCCGGTCCCTTTTAGGTTCCAAACCTCTCTCATTTGTTGTTACGGGGGATGGAACACGCAGTCCCCCCTACCAAGTGTAATCCCAATCACCACTACACCAACAGCCAATTGGTAGGTTACTCATACATATAAATTAAATTACTTTTATAAACTAATGTGGCCACGCCGTGTGGCTAGTCACATACAACACTTACCCTAAAGATATTTATGATAAATAAAAGCAAATAAAAAAAAATTTGATCTAATTTGAAATAAGTTTATTTATTTATTTTTAATGTGATTTGAAACAAGTTGTAAAATTTAATAAGTAGTAAATTGAAATTGAACATAATCTTTGTTACTCGTAAGTTATAACAATAATCTTGACTCTTGAGGAGATTGATGAGGTTGTGATAAGATAAGTGGGATGGGCTTTAATGCATGGGCTGGGTTGATACCAGGAATTAAGATGGCTCAATCCAGCCCACATGTACTAAAAAAAAAAAATTACTTGTATATTGAACGCCGACTTTGTTTGGAATTTTTTGGTACAGAGTAGCTTATTACAAGCATAAAATAATTCTTCTTCCGTTTTAAATTAGATGACAAGTTTCTTTTATCACGTTTGCCAATATAAAGGTTCAGTCGAAAATATCTTTATTTATATGATTGTAAAAAAAATTAAAAATTGAATTTTAATTAAGTACACATTAAAATGAATATAACAAAATCTCACATGACTATGTTTTTTATACCTATAAATCTCAAATGTTAGTTAAAGTAAAGTTAATGAATAGTGTCAAAAGTCAAAACGTGTCATCTAATTTGAAATGAAAGAAATACATATACAAAGTATAAACCATACACATGTGTCATGTACACATAAAGTAAGTTAAGTTGATCAAAATAAGGCCTTTGAGAATAATTGGTGATGTTTTATTAGACGAAAAACAAGTAAAAATAAGGTGAAGAGAACACCACCTTAATTATACGGATTATTATTTAAGCTTTATCTTTAATCTGTCAGTGAGGTATTGATGAGTTGGTGATATTTATAACATGTATGCTATGATGAATTGGGTCTTATAGATCTCTATGACTATCTCTATCAAATCTTGCATGTTCAAGTTAAGCAAGTTGCTTGCCACATGCATGCACAGTCAGCATGGATCTTGATGCCTTAATGCCGCATATATTCTTTTTAATCAATTTTATCCCCTAATCATATTATAATACAGTTGGATCTTAGCTGATTAAGACTTGGGGGTTGGCACTAATTAATTTGAATTTGATTTCAATTAATACTGAGGTCAATAAAAAAAAGTTGCAGTAGTAATTTAATGTTTGATGAGGAAAATTCCTTAAAAAGGGTTGGTGTGAATTGAACTAGGACCTACACACTCCCTTGATTCAAGGGATCCAAGTTAATTACCAAGTTAATCTACCTTCGAATTTATTTTTATTTTTTTTAAGACTAAATTTAATTCACCTAATTTTTGCTTAATTAATTTTACATGAGCTTTTTATTAATCTACTTTGATCTAATTTTATTGCTTAAACTTTGACCTTATATCAAGAAACAGACGAAATGAGATAGACCATTTCCAAACACATGCAACTTTTTACAATAGACCCATTAAATATCCTCTTACAATAATGTGTCTAATTAGTACAAATTTAATTTAATTTATAGATTGAAAAGGTACTCGAAACATAATGATATAATAATCGATAAGTGTACAAATGCATGAAATGAACTCTCCGAGTCTCTGCGTATACCAAATCCGTCGGATGTCTGCTGGTTGCTAATGTTTTGATTTTGCATAGGTTGAGCGGTTCATATTGTCAATGCGTTTAATAATATTATAATATGACACTAGTTTATCTTAATATGATTCTGATTAAAGCAGTGACATCATCTAAAATTATTTTTAATGTTGCGTTATTCAACAGTATTTACAAAATTTGTGATGATGAAATATGGGCCTTTATTTTCCTCAAAAATAAATGAATGGTTTTGCTCAATCAATTCATAGATACAACCTTCCCTGAATGGTTCTTTCGTGATGGCTTGCTGCTGTACGTACACTCACTCAACGTGCATGACAATGATTTACAATGAAATATCTTTATTTTATTTACAACGAATTTTTTTTGTTTTTTATTTTTTAATTACCATTATCTACATATAAATAGGTTTTTTTTTTTTTTTTTTTTTCTTCTTCTTCTAATTGAATCGCACCCAAGAGGCTAGGACGCTTCAACCCTACCTATTAGATCAAGCTTAAATTAACTTGGTTATTATTATTGTACATTGTGTAAATGATAATGTAGAAGTGTATAACGTTATGTTATACAAGTATAATATAAACCGGTGCAACACACCTAATGAAAACCGTTATATTAAGTTCCACTTTCCTAAAAAAAACAAATTGAAAGTAAAAAAAAAAAAAAAAATGTTCAACTTCCCTTTATTTTTGGTTGCACCTAATATTTATACATGTTTTCAAGCATATTGTTAATGCATGTCGCCGTATAAGTTCAACTATTAAAGTATTAATTAATATATTAATAAAAATTGATTTTTTATTTTTTTTTTTTGTCGGGAAAAAAATTGATATCTTCTTACACTTTGTTTGAATAGAAAGAAATGGAAGGAAAAGAAGAGAAGAGAAAGGAAGAGGGATAAATTCTCTTGTTTGGGTAAAGGATTGAGGAAAGGAAGGGGAAGGAGAGGGAGAGGGAGGGATCCATTTCCCCTCTTTCTTTAATAAGCATAACCTCTCCAAAATTGGAGCGATTTGGAGGGAAAATGGACCTCACATCCCTCTCCCTTTCTTTTCCCTTTCCCTTCCTCCTTTTTTCCCTCCCCTTTTCCTTCCTTCTTTTCTATCCAAACAAAGCGTAAAAGTACATACTCTGTTATATAAAACAATCATATATTTTGATTTACAGTTAAATTATAGTGTGATGAATAGTGTAAAAATGAAAATGGTTTAACAAAAAAAAAAAAAAAAACATATGATAGGAAATGTATTATTATGAAATTTGATAAGTAGAAGTATAAAATTTGAATGATACTAGTAGTTAAAAGATGAGTAAAATCAATTTTATTTAATCATATCTATCCAATTTAATACAGTACATACTTTATACCATGTTTTACTAGAGAAGGTTACATTACGAGGATAAAGATTACATGTTTTACTAGAGAAGGTTACATTACGAGGATAAAGATAACTACGATCCTATACAATCTCATATTCTCATTATATCCGGATGATAGTTACATCTATGTTATCAATCTAAACCAAAGAGGATGTATACAAAGTATGCATGACTCATTCAGTAGTACGAGTATAAAACTTGGGCATATGCAAGAAAAACAATGTTGTAGGTGAGATTTATGTAAGAAATTATTTAAAAACAAATAACTTATTTTCTGTGTGGCCGGCTGACACACGAGTTATAAGATTTTGAATCTGTTTTCATTGAGTTCCAAAGTAGAGATTACAATCCTATTTATAGAAGAGATAAGCTACGGTACAACTATGTACAAGGCTAGAAACTGTAACAATCTAAAGTACATTTGACTAATAATAAAAGATAAACTTAGAAGATAAAACAGAAGCTAAGAATAAAGGGAAGAGATAACTACAGCTATTAACAAGAAAAAGTGATTATCCTTTAACACGAGTAATCTCTGATCAGGTAATCTCTAACCGATCGAGTAACCTCTGACCGATCGAGTAACCATTGACCAAGTAATCCCTAGCCGACCGAGTTAGTCTCGACCACACTTAAGTTTGGTTGGATTTGAACTCCAACTAGCGACAACTAGAGAACTACAAAATAATACTAGTAGTACTTGTACAAAAGACTCGTAAAAGGTAATACCGAGTATTAATAATGATGAACCCCAGTTTTTTGGAATATATACGTGGCTTTGCATTTTATTTCCACGGTCTTTAGTTTTCTCTCTCAATAATTTGTTTTCTCCACCTCCAAAGAAATAATTTTAATTTATAATATATATACAAATTTCATATATTATACGACTATATATATAAGATTATTATTTATCTTCTTCTTCTTCCTAACATATAAATTCCAACCCCAATAAAATAGGAATGGCATGAAATTTTGAAGGCCAACTTCAATTCTTTTTTTGTGCAGATTCGTGAATACAGGTTCGTTTTTTCCTTCTTAATCAAATTATTTCTGCTTGATTATCAGTTTTTGCTTGCTAATTATTCAGGCGTTTATGTTTTTATGCATCATTTTTTTATGTGTTACGTTTTCCTGTTTTCTTGCGGTTTTGTATGATGAGATATAAAACCAGCAAACTAAATAATGCTAAATGATTTGATTCTGCCAATTGTTAGCTGTTACTGGTTTTTATTCATAACGCAATAGATGAAATTATATATATATATATATATATATATATTTTTTTTTTTTTTTTTTTTTTGAGAAAACAATTGTGAGATTTTAACTTGGTAACTTTTTTTTATTTTTTATTTTTTTTAACATCTTAATTGAGCCAATAAAATTATCTAAATCATATAGAACTTAGCATAGCTAATTTATATAAGACATTTTCCATTTTAATTTGATGCGGAGTTACTTTTAATTAATACTGTGTTGACATTCTGTTTTTTTAGCGACTTCGGCCAATAAATTTAAATTTGTACATATAAGTAGTACAAAGTTGTATATATGAGTAGTACGAAGTATGGAGTGTATAATTACGTGATTCTAAAAATTTGATATTCCGTATTAGAGAATGCCAAATTTTCTTATTATTTGTACGGAGTAATTAATTATCAAAGTTTAATTCTTAAATTGAGATGTTTGGATTGAAATAATATATTCAGACAGAGAGAGTACAATATATAAGTCACACTAATTAATACAAAATAATAGTTATTAATGTGAGTGAGAATTAGGCACACTAATTAATTAAGTGATTATGAAACCATAAGAATTTGCCTACGCATCTTTTTTCGTTCTAACAACAACAACAAAAATCCATGGAGAAAACTTGCAATCATGTTGTTCTATATAAACATGCTTATCATGCTATTTTTTTAGTGTGCTTCCGTGGAATAAAACTTTTTTTTTTTTGGATATGAATGAATTACAACTTTTGACAACGTAGCGTTGTCTTTATCCTTAAAAACAATACTTCCTCCAACAACGCTGTACTCCCTATCTACTCTCTCCCTCCTAGGCTCCTACCAAAATAAATAAATAAGAATTCATTATTCAAAAAAAAAAAAAAATCAGTATTTTGTTTGAAGATAAGAAAAATGAAATCTCATCATACATGAAATTAAGGTTATTCCTTTTCCTTGAATGCATCGGTAGAAAAAATAGAAACATGTACGTAGTAGAATTATTACACTGGTCAATATTTTTGCTATCGATAATCAAATGATATTGCTCGATTAGCCTCACAATATATGAAGTATATGTTTTTTTTTTCCCCTTTTGTAAGACTCAAAAAATATATGCGAAGTATGTTGAATTTGTAAAATTTTGAGTTAAGGATATGTAGTTTTGCAATGATAGGCTGATAGCTCTATTCGCCAAGTTGTGCCAAGTTGTTAACCAACTTTTTTCAAAATAAAAGTCTTTTGGGTATACATTACCTTCCTTTCTATTTAGTTGCACTTTTTTTAGTGCAATAATTATTTAGAAGAAAAAAAGTAGGGGTCATATTGAGGGTATTGTAAGAAAAAAAAAATCATAAATTAAGACAAGTGGGAAATGGTCACCAATTCACCATGTGAAATGTAGGGGCAAAAAGGTCATTTAAAGAAAAACCATAGTTATTTACAAAGTATTATTGTTTAAAAAAAAAAAAAAAAAAACTAATGTTATTGATAGAGTATAAAATATATTTCTGGCCTATAAGAAACTTAAGCTTTTGGTTGAGAATTTGAGATAGTTCTTTAACATGATATCAAAGCCGTGACACAAAAATCACGGATTCAAATCTCATCCACTTCTCACTTTCAAGTGGAATACTTGAATAGGTTAAGTCCACATCCTTGGTCCAACAAGCTAAGTTCTGGAAAAACTGTAGAGGAATATGGACGTGGGCAGGTATATATATCATCAGTCGCTACTAAAGAATATGGCATTTATTTCAAGGATACGCTAAAGAAAACGTAAGCCAATTCATTGGATAGGATTAAATTATTGGAGTAGTGCAATCAGATCAAGGCCGCCAATATTGTAGACGTAGTCACGTAGATAGATCTTGTTCTTCTCTTGATTATTGACCAATATTAAATATTGGATCCAACTTTATTTATTTATTGGTTGGCCAACTACTAAAAAAATATGAAACTCGTTTAATATACTAATGATGAGCTGTAATTACACTGGACGAACTAGCTTAACAATGTGAATGAACGTAATTAATATTGGGGCTAAGTGTTATTATTCCTGTCTATAATTGGTGGTTAGTCGTCATCAAACTTGTTAAACCGACGGGATTTGGTTATTGATTACTCCGATTCCTCTCATTATCGTTATACTACTCTGTAATTATCAAAGGTGTATATCAATAAATAGATATTATTGTTTCGGGGGTTGGGGAAGGGAGGGGTGGTTCGAGGTGGCATAGGGATTTTTTCGGCGGGGAAGGGAAGGGGCAATTTTTTTTTTTTTTTTTAATTTTAATTTTTCATTTTTTTTTTAGTAATTTTTAGATCAATTACGGTTTGATACGTGTTCAGGTAATCTGGTATAACAGGTTGTTAACCAATTGGGCCTATTAAAAAAAAAAACGCAGTTGAGATTATATTTCCTAATCTTTTTCAACCAAAGAAATACTTATATAAAGGTATGATAAATCAATAGTACAAGTCTACATTGGGAATTTGTTTGAATAGGTGATGTATATCCAGTACTGGATCATGTATTTTTACTATTTATCTACTTCCTCCTAGGGGTGGGACTTTTCAAACCGAACCGTAAAACCGTCCGTTATCGAACCGAACCATCACGGATCGAACTGTTTATAAACCGCTAGTTTTAAACCGAAAACCGAACTGAACCGTATAATGTCAAACCGAAACCGAACCAAACCGATTAATGTTAACCCGTTACGAACCGTAAACCGATAACAAACCAAACCGTTTATAAACCGAAACCGTTTGAACCGATTAATGTTAACCCGCTAACTGTTTAAACCGAACCGATTATAAACCGAAACCGTTTGAATAGTAGGAAAAAAACCGTTTAAATCGAACCATTTACAACCCGCTAACCGTTTACACCAAACCGTTGTAACCTGTTAAGCCGTTTAAACCGAACTATTTTCAAACCGCAACCCGTTTAAACCGATCCGATTACAAACTGTTTAAAACAAACCGTTTACAACCCGTTCCATTCAAATTGGACTATTTACAGCCTTTAACAATTTGTTAGAATTCCACGAATACATTTGATGTTTAATGTAGTTTAACAGTACAATTTTTTGTACGTATAATTATTAATTTAAATTTATAAATTTTTTTGCTATTATAAAATTAAAATTATATTCTTGCATTACTAAATTAGGAGTTATAAATTGAATAAAAAAATTATAAAAAATCTGGCCACCCACCCAATCCAACACCCTCCACCTACCCACCACCGTAACCCACCCTAACACCACCCCCGCCGTCACCCCAGACTCACCCTATCACCACCACATCCCACCACCGTCACCCCAGACCCACCCTAACACTACCCCCACCCACCACCGTTACCGTAACCCACCTCCACCCCACCACCGTTACCGTAACCCACCCCCACCCCACCACCATCAACCCAGACACACCCTAACACCACCCCCACCCACCATAATTATCATAACCCACCCCACCCCACCCCACCCCACCACCCACCGTAAATACAAAAAAACCCAGACCCAAACCCCCACCCACCCCATCCACCACCGTCACCGTAAATAATAAAACCCAGACCCATACCCCACCCCACCTACCACCATCACCGTAACGCACCCCACCCACCCCACCCACCATTGTCACTGTACAAAAAAAAAAAAAAAAAAAAACCAGGCCCAACCCCAACCTCACCCACCACCGTCACCGTAACACACCCCACCCCACCCCATACGAAAAAAATCGGAAAAAAAAAAACCCAAACCCACTGTAACCCCACCCCACCCATCCCCACGAAACCCAACATCCTCGAAACCCCCCCCCCCCAACTCACTCTAACTACTCACCCACCATAAAACTCCCTCCCTCCCTTGAAAAATCCTCCCTCCCCTCCCACCCGAACCCACTCTAACCGCCGCCGAACCCACCCTAACTTGGCCCCCTCCGTCGCCCACAACCTGAAAAAAAAGGAAGAACGAAAATACCTTATATATTATTATATTAATCCCGAATTTGGCCTCGAATTTGGTTTTAAAAGGCCAAATTCGATCATGCAACAACTAGATCTAGAGTTTCGTGGTCGAATTTGACCATAAAAACCGTCGTGCGTGGTGCCGGTGGACGGTGACGGAAAACGAGATGGAAGAAGGAGAACATAGATGGAAGAAGGGAAAAGAAGAAAGGAAGATGGAAGAGGAGATGAGAGAGAAAACGGGAGAGCAGTGAGCATATTAGCAGCCATGGCTCAAAAAATTGATAATATTACAGAAGAGGAGAGAGAAAACGAAAGAGAAATCAAAGAGTACTAAAGAGACAATGGTAAGAGTGATTTGATTAGTGGAAAAGAAAACACACAGATCATGAATTGGAATGTGTGCGATGATAGGCCGTTAGATGACATGCAAATCAATGGCTGATATTTAATTTAAGACGGTGACACGGATCGTGGAATGATGGATTAGGATAGTATGTTTTTTTTTATTCATAGCTACGTACTAATAAAAACACTATTGTACTCTTAAAAAATGATTAACTTTATGTAACTTATCAATTGTAAGAAACAGAAATGTTTGGAAATTCAAATTGATTCAATACGACATATTTAATGTATATTAGTTATTATATGTAATAAATAATAATGTATGGTACGATTGGTATCATACTATCATTGGTATGAATAGATAATAAATAAATGTATCTGATTATTAAAACTTAAAACAGTTGATGATCGATCTAATTGAATATTTCTACTTCTCCATCCGTTTTCTTTAACTTGCAAGTTGCAACATATATATGTTGCAGCCTTGTAGGCACGTAATCTTAAAAGGTGATCAGAGAGGGTAAGAGAACAAAGTAATTCAGCAATATAACTTTAACACCAAAATTATGGAATAGTTACAAACAATTGTCAATTATTACTTTATTAGACTAATGGGAAATTGAATAATTGTGATTTTAATTAAATATCCAAATATAGTTCTGTAACATTAAATTATTAGTTTATTACAATATCAATTATCGATTTATCGTATTCAAAGTACCAACTCATCAAATCATGGTCATGACGCGATCTTTAAAACAAGAAGTTGATAACCTGATAATAATCAATAATGAAACAATAATACATTAATACCTTATAAATTTGTAATAGACTAATATTTAATAAACAACAACAAGACTATAACCAAACTTGAAACATAACACATTAACATGATATAGAATATGAGAATTTCTGTAATTCTATATAATCTGATATCTGAATCGATTTATCATATTCAAAGTAGCAACTCATAAAAATATGGTCATGACACGATATCTAAAACAATCCAACAAGAAGCTGATAACCTGATAATATTTGATAACAATAATATATTATAAATTTATAATAGACTAATATGATAATATCTAATAAACAACAACAAGAGTATAACCAAACTTGAAACATAACATATTAACATGATATAAAATAATTGAATAAATGAAGATTTGTGTAATTGTATATAATCCGATGTCTGAAAATAAAGTGACGAAATACCAACTTGATATAAAACGAAACCAGCTAATCGGTCAAAAACTCTTTAAACCCAATTTCTACTCGATCCATTTTTTTTTTTCACCAACCTATACTGACCTGCTAATGAAATGGAAATACTAGTCCCAACTTGATATAAAACAAAACGCGCTAACTGGTCAAAACCACTTTTTAGAACTCAATTTCAACCCGAATCAAACCGACTTTATCTAGTTCGCTAAAGAAATGAACCTTTTCAACCCGATCCAATTTAACCGATTACCAAACTAACCCGAATGATTTTAGCACCAAACCGAGTATAAACCGAACCGATATGAATCGAACTAGCATTAACTAGGGTAAACCCGCCCCTGAACCGACCCGTTTCAAAATAATTCGTTCATGACCCGAACCGATATGAACCTGAACCGACGTTGACCCGGTAAAACCGCCCCTGAACCGACCTGTTTCAAACCGATCCGATTATGAACCGAATCGTTTAAAAACCGAACCAGCATTGACCCGAGTAAACCCGCCCCTGAACTGACTTGTGTCTAACCGATCTGATTATGACCCGAACTGTTTATAAACCGAATCGTTTATGACCTGAACCGAATTTAAACCGTACAAAAATAAACCGAAACCGAATCGACCTGTGACTAATCAGAACCGAACTGAACCGACCCGCCGTTTAAATGAAACTGTTTCAACCCGAACCGTTTCAAACCGAAACCGTTTCAAACCGAAGTCAAACCGAACTGCCAAACCGAATTCCCACCCCTACTTCCTCCGTTTCTAATTAGTTGACACGGTTTATTTTGACGCACATAGGAGGAGTGAAAGAGAAAGCAAAAGACCCATATACCCTTACCCAACCTTATACCACCTACCCTTCTCTTTGGCCAGGTAATAGAAACAGTGACCAAGGCCCACACCACCCCAAGCTGTCGTCTGAATCTAAGCCTACACCTTCCCCACCGTTAGCCGCACCTCCTTAGCCGCCGCACCTCCCTCACTGTTATCTACTCCGACGACACAACCTTACCCCTGAGTGAGGTGTTTCTCGCGGACGATGCTCACTTTCTCTCTCCTCCTACTCTTCGTGTCAGAAAGTCGGGCGATCCTCTCCGCCATGACCAGATCGAACGCCGCCGGGTGATGGTAAGATTGGAAGGCAGGATCCACTCGTGCTGCCGCCTTCAAGTGGTAAAATTGGAAAACCCCGTCAAGGCATCAAGCTCACAAGGTCACCAACGACGGGATGAGAGAAGGGGGGACAAATTGATCAACAGAGGTAACGGAGTAAGAAAATGGAATGATGGTGATGGCTATGGGGAGGAAAGAGAAAAAATTGGAAGAAGAAAGAGGGGGTTAAGGAAGAGAGATGAGGAGAGTATAGAGATGAGGGCAAAAGTGACATTTAATATTACCCAAAATAGAAACAGGTTAACTGAAAAAAAAAATTCAAAAAGAATACGTGTCAATTAAGAAAAACGGAGGAAGTATAATATAAGATATGCTCTCTTATGATTATTTATAGACCAAATTTGGCTTTAGGATATGAATTGATTCCAATTGCCTCATTATAACGAGTATGTTTTCCTCATCTTTGGGTCTCCTAATTGTATCTTAATTTACTTTACATATATAAAAAAAAAACCACGGTATGGTATTACTCCTATAGTCCTACCAAAACTCGTTTTTATTTGTTGTTTTTGCAATTTCTCATGAACCAACAAGTAATGAACCAACAACTAAAAAAAAAAACAAAAGAAATAGGAAGAAATATGTAGAAGATAGCTAAATTTATGAATATGGATTAGAAAGGAAATTTCTTGCACTTTTGCACCAATTTGTAAGCTCAATCATTTATTTTCATTTCTTTGGTTTTGTGACCCCCCCCCCCCCCCACCCAAAAAAAAAAAAAAAAAACCCTTCATATTTAAGAAAGTATTTAGCTAAAATTTTAAAGTATTGAATTTAATCATCATTGAAATTTTGCAGAAATTTTGTTGCTTCATTAGACAAACATAGAGAAAGTTGGAAGCTTTTGAGGAGAACTTAGAAAGGAAGAAGAAGAATTAAAGATGGGTTTCTTGTCACTCTTTGAAGTGGCATCAATGCCCATTTTGCAAGTGCTGATAATCAGTGGACTAGGAGCATTTTTGGCAACCGGATACTGTAATCTTTTGAATGCAGATGCTAGGAGGTCCTTGAATAAGGTAAGTGCCGCGACATGTTTTATGTACTCGTACATATTTATTTGTTTTTCATACATGGATCGGAATTCTTTCCGGTAACTAAATTGACATCCTATCAAATTAAAGGAATTTAGAAGGCGGGTATAGGATACGTTACATACATATATAGATACATTATTTCAGTGCACTTTATAGCTTAATTTTGAGGAACAATGAAATAATAATAAAGCAAATGTTGAAATGCAGATAGTGTACGTGGTTTTTACTCCAGCACTCATGTTTGCAAATCTTGCCAAGACTGTAACGTTGCAAGACATCATTTCATGGTTAGCTCTCTATCTTCAATTTCTTTTCTTACTAGATCTCTTAAGACTTTCCGCTCTTCGTTTTTTTCTCCTCGTTTTGCCACTGATGTACTGTTATTTCAAATCCATGTTGATGAGTAATGGCTATACGCGAATAGCTTATCATTTGGCTAACTATTAAACATCTAACAACCAGCAAATAAACTCGCACTATCTGTACATTTGTTGTTTATAATTACATCTAAATATATATGGTATGTCTCAAACTGCAGGTGGTTTATGCCCGTTAATGTAGGGCTAACGTTTTTAATCGGAGGAATCCTTGGATGGATTACAGTCAAGATTCTGAAACCTGGGTTACACCTTGAAGGTTTAGTCATTGCTTCTTGCTCAGCAGGTAACTAAATGAGTAAATTCAGTTTCTAAGTTTTTTTTATCTGACTTGTTAGATTAGCAATAATTATCAGAGTTTCGATCTAAAATTATTTTCTCATCTTTGATACCCCAGCAAACTTGGGAAACCTTGTTCTGATCGTACTTCCTGCAATCTGCAATGAGGATGGCAGTCCATTTGGCGACGACCATGCTGCTTGTTCTTCAATTGGCCTTTCTTACGCCTCTTTCTCAATGGCGGTATGCCAAAATAGCTCCTTCACTGGTTTTTTAGTAACACATATTGATGAGCATCTTTAGATAAGAATTTTGACAAATTTGCTTGCATCATAGGCTTAAGCATGCTTTCGCACTGAAACACCTAGCATACTGTTGTTATTGCAGCTAGGGGGGTTTTACATATGGACATACACTTTTCACTTGGTAAAGAGTTCATCCATTAAGTTTAAGGCACTAAGAGCCGCGGAAGAGGAGGCGGCAAGGGATCCAAACGACGACTTGGAAGCTGATGTAAAAGCCCGTCTTCTCAACGGAGAGAGTGAAGGGTATGATGCAGAAAGCCATCCTGTAAGTTCATTCTTTTCTTCTGTATAGTATGTTTACAGAATATAATAATAGTATTGTAACTTATCTGACCTGTATAAATATCTCAGGTATCACCTAAGAAGGAAAGCGAGCCCCTTTGGAGGAAGATAATCGAGTTTCTACACCTAATATTAGAGGAACTAATGGCACCTCCTAGCGTTGGTGCAGTGAGTCTCTCTTTCTATCTATAAACATAAACTTTTACAGACTTTGTATGGTGAAATAGAAATGTATGTAGCACCTTGCATTATTGGTAAAGCGAGCTTAATCTGCTTGAAATGCTACTACTTAATGTTTAAGACTACCTTCTTTTCGATCCTATATGCTATGAACTTTCAATATTTAGCTGACAATAGTCCTAGGATTGGTTTGTACATCCAAAGTCCAGATAGGCCTATCAATTACCATTGCAATAACAAGTAAGGAGTAAAATATTTATAATGGTACATCCAAAGTCCAGACAGGCCTGGAGTTAGGCAAAGTACGTGGCTTTTCATGTAGTCCTTCGACTAGCTTATGTAGTTTTATGCTTTTGATCTAGATTATTGGACTCATTTTTGGAGCTACTACTTGGTTGAGGGGCCTTGTCATAGGGGATGGAGCTCCACTTCGAGTGATACAAGATTCCCTCAAATTGCTTGGGTATGTCTTGGTGAAATTTTCAACTCTATTTTTTTCAGCTTATTAAATTCAGTTACAGCAAAAATAAGTTTTGTTCATCAAAAACAAGTGCAGTTCAGAAAAAATGAGTTCAATTTTACAAAAGAAATTTACATTGAAGAGAACAAAGCCTATATACAAAATAACATCTACTAAACTATAACATACCTTATAAATATTCTTGCAGGGATGGAACAATACCTTCGATCACCCTTATACTAGGTGGAAACCTAATACAAGGTAAATTAATATCAGATGATTTGAGTTAACAGTCCATTTAAACAGGATTACAATCTCTGACTAATTACTTGGTTTAAACAGGATTAAGATCATCAAAAGTAAAGCCAACTGTGATAATTGGGATCTTATTTGTCAAATACTTGCTGCTTCCTGTGATTGGAATTGGAGTAGTAAAAGCTGCTGATACTTTTGGCTTCCTCCCACCAGACCCTTTATATCGCTTCGTGTTGATGCTTCAGTTCACATTGCCTCCGGCCATGAGCATTGGTTAGTCATCAACTAATTCCTAAGCTTTAACATCTTGCTTCATAGTAAGTCTAGTTCAGAGTTCAACTAAATTTCTCTGTCTGTTTTGGTTGGTTGTTGCAGGTACCATGGCACAATTATATGATGTGGGACAAGAAGAGTGCTCAGTTATATTTCTTTGGACATATCTTTTTGCAGCACTTGCACTTACTCTCTGGTCCACAGTATTTATGTGGATTCTATCCTAAACAAAGAATTATAAGGGCAAGTAAGCATAATATTATGATTTATCAATTAGTCAGATTATACATTTGTCCTGAAATTTTTTTTTTTTGTCACAGATGGTCCATGCAGTCAAGTTATCAGCAACTGGAATTTTCGAAGTGACAAGGAATTCGAAATGTTGCATATTATGATATTACTCTACATCGCGGTTTAATATCAGGATAGCCCTGTACTTTCGGCTCTAGTGTAAGTGCAAGCTTTTGATACAAAAACGCGGTGGCTATATATGTAATGAAGAACAATTTTGTCAAGTCCATATGTGATTCTCTGTAATCACACCTGTATCATTCTTTGTAGCCTTCTCTTTTAGAGGGGAAGGGTTGATTTATTGAAGTTATGTATCATTGACATAGATAATACTTCATATTGTAAAATTGAAGGCCACATTTGGGTCATATATATTTATGTTATATACTAGGAATTGGTTATGAAAATATTCTCTCCACACACCCGATCATTAAAACTATGTATGCATTCTTGAGATAATTTAATTTTTTTACAAATATTATTAACTCTACCATAATCAATTGAACAACAATATACTCACCTAATTGTTTACGTTACAATTAAAAAAAACAATCAAATACTATTTTCAAACAACGCATCAAGACAAATCTAACTAAATCGGATTGGATATATAGTTTTAATGATATTCAGACAAATCGTATATGTGTACTATTGAGGAACGGATTGGATAGAATGGAGTACTCCAAATGCATGTTCAAGTACTCCAAATGCATGTTCAAGTACTCCCTCCATTCCATAATAAGACTTAATAATAGCATGAAATAAACACAAAAAACAAGTACTTTGAAGTAGTGGACTGGTGGAGTATTATGTGATCATCCTTTTATTAGATCTTCTTATTTCAGTCAAAAGAAATGTATACTAACACATAATAGATCAATAGTACACATGTACAATTTGTCTGAATATGTGATATGTAGCCAATTGGATCACTATATTTTTTTTGTCTAAAACATGTGTTCTCCTATGGTAGATCGAATTATTGGCTCTGGGACAAAGATGCGATTCAAATTGCCTCATTATTTTATTTTTCCTCGAAGCGTATTTAACGTATATTTATACTATCTCCGTTTCTTATTATTTGTGAGATAGAAGTATAAAATATTTCTTTGTCGCAAAAACAAAAAGACACAGAGGTAGCATACTAGTACGTGTTATTATTCCTATGGTCTTACCAAAACTCGTTTTATTTTGTTGGTTTTTGCAGTTTTCTAATGATCAACAAAAAAACAAATGATTTTGCTCATGGCTAAATTTATGAATATCGGTTAAACTTTAGAGAGACTCTAGATGTCAGTTTGTATATGCATTTCTTTGTTTTGTGACACTTCATTTACCCATTTTATTCAAGTATTGATCGAATTGGATTACTGAACTTCTTGCAAACTTCAATTCATTCATTCTACAAACATAGAGAAAGTTGGAAGTTTTTGAGAACTTGAGAAAAAAATAGAAGGAAATACAAGGGAAGAAGCTAGAAGAAGATGGGTTTCTTGTCACTCTTTGAAGTGTCACCAATGCCTATTTTGCAAGTGCTAATAATCAGTGGATTAGGAGCCTTTTTGGCAACTGGATATTGTAATATTTTGAATGCAGATGCTAGGAGGTCCTTGAATAAGGCAAGTCCCGTGACTATATTTTATGTACTCATACATATTTATTTCTTTCCAGTAATTATATTGTCCTATCGGGAGGAAATAGAAGGTGATATAGGATAAATTACATACATATATAGATTCATTTTAGTGTACTTTATAGCTTAATTTTGGACGAATATAACGTACAAGAAACGAATCAACAAAACAAATGTTGAAATGCAGATAGTTTACGTGGTTTTCACTCCAGCGCTCATGTTTGCAAGTCTTGCCAAGACTGTAACGTTGCAAGACATCATTTCATGGTTAGCTATCTTTAATTTTGATTCTTACTTGACTGTCTGCTCTTCTTTAGTTGTTTTTTTTCGCTTTGCTACTCTACTGCTCTTTCACATCCAGGTCAATCAATCTGTAATGGCTATACGCGAATAGCTTATCATTTTGGCTAATTGTTAATCATCTAAAAACCAGCAAACTCGCACTAACTGTACATTTGTTGCTTATAATTACATCTAAGTTTATGGTATATCTCAAACTGCAGGTGGTTTATGCCCGTTAATGTAGGCCTAACGTTTTTAGTTGGAGGAATCCTTGGATGGATTGCAGTAAAAATTCTGAAACCTGGGTTACACCTTGAAGGCTTAGTTATTGCTTCTCGCTCAGCAGGTAAACTCAATTCAGTAGAGGTTCTTTTAAGGCTTGGTAATTCAGCAATAATTGTCAAATTTCTGATAATTCTTTTCTGGTCTTTGATAACCCAGCAAACTTGGGAACCCTTGTTCTGGTCGTACTCCCTGCAATCTGCCATGAGGATGGCAGTCCATTTGGAGATGACCATGCTGCTTGTTCTTCAGTTGGCCTTTCTTACGCCTCTTTCTCCATGCCGGTATGCCAAAATAACCCCTCCACTGGTTTTCAGTAGCACATATATTGAGCATCTTTAAATAAGAATTTTGACAAATTTGCTTGCATCATAGGCTTAACCGCTTAAGCATGCTTTCGCACTTAATCACCTAGTGCTGTTGTTATTGCAGCTAGGGGGGTTTTTCATATGGACATACACATTCCACTTGGTAAAGAGTTCATCCATTAAGTTTAAGGCAATAATAGCCGCAAAAGAGGAGGCTGCATGGGATCCAAACAAGGACATAGAAGCTGATGTAAAAACTCATCTTCTCAATGGGAAGAATGAAGGGTATGATGCACAAAACCATCATGTAAGTTATTTTCTTCTGTATACTTGATTTCTTGTATAGTATGTCTACAGAAAAATAAGAATAGTACTGTCACTTAATTTGGCCTTCATAAATTTTGTAGGCATCTCCTAAAAAGGAAAGTGAGCTCCATTTGCAGAAGATCGTAGAATTTCTACATCAGATTTTAAAGGAAATAATGGCACCTCCTACTATCGGTTCAGTGAGTCTCTCTTTCTCTCAATTAGCTATAAACAGTAACTTTTACAGACTGTGTAGGTTCAAGTTCAAATACATTGTAGTATTTGCATCATTGGTAAAGGGAGTTAAACTGATAGAGATGGCTCTACTGAATGATTTGGGGGTACCTTCTTTTGGATCCTGTATACTTCGAACTTTCACCATTAAGCTATATTTAGGTGACAAAAGTCCTAGGATGGGTGCTTGTCTTAATTCAGTGATCAAGGCCAGTTCCAAACAGCAGGCAACTGATGCATGCCTACCATTGCAACACTAGCTAGGATATAAATATTACTCCGTATAACAGATTTGCCGCACTCAATTCTGCATCCCATGTCCAGAAAACCCTGCAGTCAGGCAAGGTGGCTTTTTGTGTAGTCTTCAACTAGCTTATGCAGTTTTATAATTTTGTTACAGGTTATTGGACTCACCTTTGGAGCCATTACTTGTTTTAGGGAGCTTGTTATAGGAGATGGCGCTCCACTTCGAGTGATTCAAGATTGTCTCAAATTGCTTGGGTAAGTCTTGGACCTCTCTTGGTGAAGGCTCTGTTTTGTTCAGTTCATAACATTTTACTTTCAGTAAAAATAAGTTTTATTCATCAAAAACTAATTCAAGGTAAATACTTCAGAAAGAACTAAACTATGATATACCTTATGAACTTTCTTGCAGGGATGGAACAATACCTTGTACCACCCTTGTACAGTTGTACTAGGCGGAAACCTAATTCAAGGTAAACTAGTGATTTGAATAAATACTACCGAGTAGATTTTAACAGGATTACGGTCTATGACTAATTACTTGGCTTGAACAGGATTACGCTCATCAAAAGTAAAGCCAACTGTGATCATGGGAATCTTATTTGTCAAATACTTGCTGCTTCCAGTGATTGGAACTGGAGTGGTAAAAGCTGCTGATTGTTTCGGCTTCCTTCCACCAGACCCTTTATATAGCTTTGTGCTGATGCTTCAATTCACATTGCCTCAGGCCATGAGCATCGGTCAGTCATCAATACTTAAGACTTACAATCTTGCTTCATACTGTGGACGACTGGTTCAGAGTTCAACTAAAATTTCCTCTTTATATTTTGATTAACCAAGTTTTTGGATGGGGATTGCAGGTACCATGGCACAGTTATTTGATGTGGGACAAGAAGAGTGTTCAGTGATATATCTTTGGACATCTCTTTTTGCAGCACTTGCACTTACTTTCTGGTCCACAGTATTATGTGGATCCTATCTTGAACAAAGAATTATAAGGACAAGCATAATCACACAGAAGTATACATTTGTCCTGAAAAAAAAACTTGTCACAGATGGTCCATGCAGTCAAGTTATCAGTAACTGGAATTTTCAAAGTGACAAGGAATTCGAAATGGTGCAGATATGCAACTCTATATCGTGGTTGATTGTTGGGATAACTTTCAGCTCTACTTCCAATGCAAGCTTGTGATACAAAAACCCGGTGGCTATACATGTAAGGAAGAACAGGCATATAAATTCTCTTCACTCACTCCAGTACCATTCGTTGTAGCCTTCTCTTCTGTTTAATTTTTATTTATTCAGTGGGAAAAGAAAATGGTTAAGAGAGGAAGGGATGATTTGTCAAGGTCAAGTACTATTGACATAGATAATTCTTCATACTGTATAATTGAAGGGCCACATTTGGGTCATAATAATGTGATATAAGCTATAATCAAAACTGAGTTTGAAGTATTACTTGAATAAACCAAATCTGGAAATTGGAATATTGACTCCTTATTAAGCTGAGCATGAAGGAAACATCTTGAGATGCAGTAGAACGAACACAACCAGATATCCAGACTAAAGCCCTCCTGACTCCTGAGTTTTAAAAAGCTATGGAATTGGTCTGTCAACTCTCGCAGTCATCATCATTCACCACACAATGAAAGCATTACAAGGGATGGAGCCACTTAAACTGTGATATGGTGCAGGTAGCCAACAATTTATCCTAGAAATGCTGACGTTAATACCGAGATATGGAAACTGCAAATTAGGAAATGTTGTACATTTATTAGCCTTCATTTCTGAACGAGGTATAATGCAATGATCAACATTGTGTGTGAAATGAAATATCTAGGTAATCACAGGATCAACATTGGAATGATTTTTTTTTTTTTTTTTCATTGAGTAGTATAAGCAAAGGAGAAGATATTACATACCAGTTGATGGAATAGGGGGCCAGTCATCACCATCTTTCCGCTCTAACCTCCTGTCAAGATCAGGACAATCCCGAATATTAAGCTCTTGTAATGCCGTGAGGTTTTGAAAAGATTCTGGGAGTGCCATCAATTTATGGCAATGCCGAACTGAAAACTGACGAAGCTGAGCGAGGTAGCCAATGCACTCAGGCAGGCCTCTCAACTGAGTTAGTCCATCAATATATAGTTCCTGCAGTGTTGTGAGGCAGCCAAGGTCCTGTGGAAGGGACTCCAATTTCGAAAGAGTGTATAAACTCAAGGAACGACTGCTTGTCTTGTAGTATTGCTAGTGTTTCTTGATTTCCTTCCCCCATCATCTTCTTCTTCGCCATCCCACAAATCCAACTCTTCACAACGCCAAAGATTCAATTCCTCAAGGACAGAGAGATGCTGCAGCGCACCAGATATGTCCCTCAATGTTCCACATTCACTGATTACAAGTTTTCAAAGAGAATTTGGAGACTCGGTGCTCAGCTTGATCAACTGGTGACAACCTTTTATTGTCAATGAGTCTAGTGAAGAAAGGTTGATTATAAATGATTCTAGGCCCTGGATTGATTCAATGTCCAACTTCTTCAATGTGGAACTAGTTGAAGTAGGTACCTAAAACTTGAAAAGAGTCTATTTGTTTTTAGTATACTTAACCAATATGCATCACTTGGCAAGAAAAGAAGAGATCTTAACTGCCTAGCAGCAAGCAGCCCTGACGGAGCCCATGATGCATCAGCAATTATACTTACATGACGAATGTCATCCTTGATGTGATGTATAGACCTATGAGCCAAAAGATATTCATCGCCTGCCATGTTAGACGTTAGTAGCTAAGTCGTGCATCAAATCATGCATTTTACACCAGATTATATCACCATACACATTTCTTTTAGCATCTTGGAAAAAAACACCTTCTTAGTAGTTCCATGAAGTATCCATGACCTATATCCTCGGGATTTTGAAGACTTCCATCCATCGGCTCAATGAACCCTTGTGCCATTCAGCAGTATATCAGGTTCTGCTTGTTTATTTCATAATCCTTTGGAAACAATTTACAATAAGCAAAGCACTGTTGTAATTGTGGTGTTAGGTGAATGTAGCTCAGCTTCAAAGTAGACGTGACACTATTTTCCTGTTGTTCCATCGTTCTAAGTTCTGCGTCCCTAAAAGACTCCCATTCTTGCACAGTATCCTGAGAATAAAGAAGACCCGCAATAGTCCTTATTGTGAGAGGAACATTGGCACACTTCTTGACTATCTCTTTGCCTATGATTGTCAAATGTGGATCCCTTTCCTCTTGTCCCTCTTTAAATGCTAGGTTTCTAAACAATTTCCAGGATTGGCCCTCGGGCAAGCCACCCAATTCATAGGGTTGAACTGTGCCCATGTTTTCTGCCACTACCCTGGACCTGGTGGTTATAATTATTGTGCTTCCTCGTTTACAGCCACACAGAAAACTTTTCAAAGGAAGCCATCTTTCTCTGTCTTCATCCCATATATCGTCTAATACAAACAAGTATTTCTTCCCATTAATAGCTTCCCTAAGACGAGATTGAAGCTGTTGCAAGCTCAAATGACGATAATCTTCTTCAACAATGGATTTAAGAATTTTACTTACTAATTCTTCCAAACAAGAGATTTCAGATATGCAGGCCCAGCTATTTAGCTCGAAATGTTTTTGAACATTTTCATCATTAAACACAAGCTGGGCAAGAGTTGTTTTTCCTAACCCACCGATACCAACTATTGGGATGACAGAGACATTGCCTTCAACATCATCAGAGTTCATGATCCTTTCTATAATTGCCATTTTATCATCATATCGACCAATCACCTCTGCTTTTAAAACAAAAGACTGTGTCTCTCTTGTTTTAGTAAGATTAGCAGCAGGTTGGTTCTCTATGGCATGGACCCTAAGGTTGAGGCTAAGCATACATGCTGCTACATCATCTAACTCGTTCATAATAGCCTTAGCCTCTTGGGCAATTCGCTTATGAAAACAGGAATCGAAATGGTTTTGTTAGCCTACCTCCTGGCCTTTGATCATTTTCTTTATCAGCCATAGTTACCTCTTCGAACAAGTCCTGCAATCTGTGAACAACATGCTTAAGTCCCTTCACGTAGTCTCTCTGCATCAAGGAGCCGAGCTTGGATCATCCTCATAATTCTGTTTCGCTTTTTCATTTGACCTCTTCCACCAAAGTAAGGGGCAATCTCTTCCACAGCCGATTCACTTAGTAACTGTAAAAGTTTCACCATAACAGCAGAAACAATGGGTTCTGCCATATTAATTTCTTCCTTTTTCTTGGTACTCTCTCTCTCCCTTTTCTTTTCCGGTTTGACTTTTGAGTTCTCTCTACCTAGCTCTTGTGAATCATGAATATGCTAAAGATGTATTTTCTCAACTTCTCAAATCTCAATAATGCAACGACTCATATATATTTTATCAATCGTGATTGACTATGTAAAAATTCTTCATATATACTTCCTCCGTTTTTTATTTATCGCATCATAGGAGGTTTGACGGCAAAATTTGGGAGTGGTAAAATTACAAAAGTGTCCTTGTATTATAACAAAAAAAAAAGACCCACCACCTTATACAATTGCTGTCAGCTTAGGTGAAATGTTTCCGTGTATTACCCAAAAAGGGGACTCAATTTCTGACTTATTTCCACTCACAAACACTGAACAGTGGAAATACTTTACATTTCCCAAATCATAAAATTTACTTCACCATAATCCAATGAATAATAGCAAGATCGGCATAATCAAATCATAAAATTTACATCAACATAATCCAATCATAACAGCAACTTCAGATTAATCTACCACCCTGGCCAGCAACTTTTGTTGCTGGCATCCATTGGCAATCACACAAACAACACTTCACCAATCAACCCAGTATATAACAAAAAAAAAAAAAAAAATTAAACAAAAAGGGCTAGATCAAAAATTGTTACTCTCATTGCAAATTCCATTCGCTTAATGTCAGATCAATTAGAAGCTTCACCAAATCGCATACGCTTACTCTCAGGCGCAGCATCAGATTCACCAAGTGGGGGGGACTCATTTCTCATCATCATCGTAAATTGGTGTGATCTTAGCACCAATCACATACCGTCTTCGAGAAACCCTAGGAATCATCTTAGGATAATTGTTAGGTCTGGGTCGGGTTTGGGACTGTGATTTGGGTTTGTTAGCACGACTCAACCCAGATCTTCCACCCATATCACAAATAGGTCCGACTTCTTTCGTAGGATCTGAACTCACATCAGTCACCAAACCCTCATAATTAGTCAGTTCTTGCGAAGAACAACCAGACCCACTTTTTCCGGCAACCACAACAGGGTTGGATTTGACCAACCCTTCCTCTTCTTCAACAAATCTAAGAACTTTACCAATCGCAGCAAAGGTTCGTTGGCTGAAAATGTCGCCACCTTTGCCTGACATGTAGAACGATTTAGGCTAGGAAGCCCATTCTTCAAAAGCTTCAACAAGAGCAACAATGAAACCCTGCTCAATTTCATCATCACTCGCAAAGAGGGCTTCGTACAGGGGAGATAGATCCATTATACGAGGAGGAAGAGAGGAAACAAAACGAGGCAGAGAGGAGCAGGACACACACCCTTTCAAGAGGAGAGAGAAAGAGGAATAGAGTTGGATGAAGGAGGAAACAATAGCTGTTCAAGCAGGAAGGGAGGAGAGAGAATGAGGAAAGTGAGAAAGCTCAAGAACACACTAGAACTAGGGTTTCAGACTTAGATTTGTGCAAAAAAAAACGAAAAGTGGACTGATTAATGAAGTATGTATTTAACGTAATTTATCGGGAAAAAAAATTGGGTGGTGTATATAGGGGTTTAATTTGGTAAGAGGAAGAATAGTAGGTGGGGTTATGATGTTATTGTAAGAGGGGTAAAAAAGTAATTTTGTAGGTAAAAATTTGCTAAATAAGGAAATGATGCAATAAAAAGTAAACTTCCTAAACTAGTAAGTGATGCGATAAAAAAAGAACGGAGGAAGTATATAGATGAAATTGCTAGAATGAAAAATTAAAAAGCCACTAATATCCAAACATTTGGTTTAAAATTCAAATTCCCTCCTCTTTTTATTCTCATATTTTGACAATGACATGTGTTGAGATATATATATTTTGACAAGTTGCTGATATATGTTTACTCTTGTCACGTTGAAGCACCTAAATTCTTCATTTGGCAACATTATTTGCGAGCTTATCATAGTTAAGTAGGCAGCTTTTGTCACGAGGTACCTCAGCTGCTAATCTGCCATACATTTTTTCCACCCATCATTCTTTGTAGCCTTCTCTCTCTCTCCTTTTTTTTTTTTTTTTTTTGGGGGGGGGGGGGGGGTTGGGGGGGGTGTGATTTGTTTGAGTCGTGTATCATTGACATTGATAATACGTCATATTGTATAATTGAAGGCCACATTTGGGCCATAATAATGTGTTATACGCTCTAGGAGCTAGTCTAATACGAGTATCCTCTAAGAAAAAGGTTAAAAGAAATACTTGTACAAGATATGAAGATATCACAGAATATAATAATTTTTTTATAGATTGAAGAGGGGCAGTGGCAGAGTTGGTTTTTAAAATTTAACCACAATTCTCCGGAACCTCATCATACTCGGTTTCTAGCAGAATGCGACTAACATTGGAAGCACCATGTTGAAACAAAAATATGGCGAATAGCCTAATGTGACATTAGGAATTCAGTTATGGAGATATCATTGAGTATCTGCTTAAAATTAAGGCATGTTCATTTCATTAATAGAAGGTTCACTATATTTCAGACTTTCAGTAGCTATTCGCTAAAAGACTAACTCAGCAAGGAATTCACAAGAAACTCCATTTATGTTGCAATCCTTCACAAATTCTTGCAATACACCATGCGACACTCATCGGATAAACTGAGACTGCAAATTTTATGCAGAAAATTGACAATTATTTCAAATTGATGATATAAGAGTGCAATAAAACTAGCTCCTACATTATCAAACAAGCAAACAACTAATAGAGCATGCCCATTTTGCTTAGTCGAAAAATGGGAGTATTTATATATTATTATACATTTAATTTAGTCACAAGTAGAGATAGGACTCACTGCACCTAACAATCTTGCATGCAGAGAGAGGGCTCTAATTTATGTTTTCTTAAATAAAAAATAGTTTCAACAACTAGAACCTTAAATTACTTGGATAAGTTTGAATCATATCATATATACAATGGAAATCATATAAAGACCATAAAATTAGTAAAAATAATAGTGTACTATTTATATACGAAGTATTATTAACTATACCCAAGACATTCCCACGCTGATCCATTAGGCTTTCACAAATTATTAATCATTGAGGTTGGCAAGTCTAATTCATGAAAGACAACTTGACACCAAAACCTACTCATTTGCACATAAAATTTTGAGTGTATTAGAAGGAAAATGAAGTAATATACAACAACCCTTCACTACTATGAGTTTAACGATGTCTCCACTAACTTTTATGACAGTTCATGGATGCCTCAATAACTCCCAAAGTCCAACTTATAATAAACCTTATTGAGGATTTAAGAACTAATTCTAAGTAGAATTGTATAGCATACATAATATATAAGAGAGAAGGTTTTCAATAATAGTTTAGAACTAGATTAGTACCCGCGCGTTGCACGGTGGTGATAAGCAATTTTTTCATATTTCTTTTATATCTTTTGTTGTTGATAACTTTTTAACATGACTTAGCACGCTTTTTATTTTGTAAAAATAAAGTTTGTTACTCTATAAATATTTTTAAAAAAAAAACATGTACATCATCCTTTTTATTTTTTTAATGATTATAATTTAATGCTACATCATAATATTTACTATGTTATTGAAAACATACTAAAATAAACTAAAATGATGGTTAGAAAAAATATACTTCGTATAAAATATTGCATTATCTAATGAGCTTATACATTTACAGTGGAAGCACAACAATATTGATGTCAAAGTCAGATTCGGATTTTTAGTTTCATACCAACTTGGTTCTAGTTTCTAGCAAATAAAATGAAAAGGCAAAAAAAAAATTAAAAAAGATGACATCATATGTAAATTTGGAGGGAAATTTTTTAATGAGAGCTTGACACATAAGACATTTTAGGAATTGATGACATCAGCATGTTTTGTTTTAGTAATAGTTAATAGATGTTGAGCATCGATAAGGAGGTAATCATAAGCAAGTGAAGGTAGAAATGCAAAAGAAAGGATTAAGTGGAATTTAAATATAGGTTCAGAAAGGATGAGTGAGCACCAGGCACCATTGGAGATTGAGGGTAAAGGTGAGAAAGGGGTTGGTAAAGGAGGCAGAGGGGAATGGGGGGCAAACCTACAAACCAATATCATTAATATAGAACTTGGAACCTCATCTGCTTACAAGTAAAAGCAATAAACTAAGGAAAAAAAATAAAATTATGCTAACTTTAGAACAGTTTCCGTGTTGCAAATTTGCAATTAACTCTATTATTCATAGTATTTAAACACTGGTAGATAGCTTCTCAAGTAATCGGACAACATAAGTAACTTCAGGAAAAACTTACTTGATATGTAGTCTTCAAGTACTCATCATCAACCTTTCCATGAGCCATAGCACCTACCTGAAGGAGCAAAGGATTAGAAGACACCTAAGTTTTGACCCATATAAATGACAGTCCCTTCTGATACATACCACAAACACAAAATTGGAATCATCTTTAACAACATCCACATATTTTTGAATGTCAACCAATTTTTCTGAGCTAAATGAAAAGCCTGAAATATGAACAACCAAATGTCACTGACTATGGAGGGGGGAATAGAGAGATAAAAGTGATCTGAACTCTGAAATTTATTAGACAGGATTACTAGTTCAGAGTAAAGCTCACCTATCTTACGAGAATTAAGAGGTAGATACTGAGTTACAGGATTTTTATCCACACGAAAAAGTTTATCTCGTTTGCCAGCAGCAGATATGCTCAGCTTCTGTAACAGTTGCACTGCAATGATAAATGAGAGAGGGCGTTAAGGAGTAACCACACGTCATGCCTTCAGTAGCAAATCACGTGATTAGAGTGACACATAGAAGTTGATAGAAAGAAGATGCATGACAAAATAATTATAACTCACACATAATGCCAGCAAAACGCTTATATGTTCTTGGAATACGAACGCGAGGTTTAACCTCAAAAAGTACACCTTTCTCAGTTTTAACATACACAGATCGAATCCTCCCAACCTTATTCAAGGGGCTATCCAAAATCATCAGAAGAGCCTGAAATATCGTTCTTAATCACAACTACTTCAGAAAAACGGCCAAATACACAAGACAATAATAGCATACATCTTTGAAACCTTCTGAAAATGTCAACAGAAGCACAAAAATAATAAATAGAATGAAGTGTATCGTAACATAAAAGTTGTATTATAAACCTGATGAACAATGTCTAGCCTGTAATCTGCAGGATTCTTTTTGTGCTTCATCAAAAAATTGGCATGGTCCTCAGAATTCAAAATTTGGTAGGTTTGCAATTACATAAGAATATGACAACAGAATTCAGTTAACAACAGCAGCAAAATTCCCGTTCATCTATTAATACCCCTCCCAAACACCATCAACACAGTTATCTAGGCCAACCCTCTAATTAATCTTTGCAACATATCCAATCCAATCCAATCCAAGCAACATACAACACAAACAAATAAACATAATGGAAAACAATAGAGCTTAAAGATTGTTGATTGACATACCTTCCCTACTTTGCCAACCTCAAGGGAAGCCCTTTCGAGCACGAAAACCGCCCCAGGCTGGCTCTTCTGCTTCGTAATAGTAATCGGAATGCCGGGGATATCATCGGCCAAATCTTCCGCTACCTTATCATCTTCAGTTGTTTCCTCAATAGTGGTAGCAGCTGGTACATCCTCTTGTACCATTTCTACTTGCTCATCCTCCTCTTTATCATATTTTTCCTCTCTCTTCTTCCTTTTCTTACCAGCTTTTACTCCCAACGGCCTCGGCATTTTCTACATAAATCAATTCCTTTACATTTTAAGCTTATATAATTCTAGAAACTTTAAACTACAAAAATCTGAACTTTTCAAAAATGGGTCCAATTGGGAAAAGGGTAATTAAGAAGGGGAGAAATATAGAAAAATAATCAGATTATACAGTGCTAATTAAGCAATGATAGTACACAAATAAAATTTTTAAAAAAATGCAGAGAAGAACAAATGTTTGAATACAAAAGATTTCAATTTCAGTAATCAACAACGACTGTGCAGAATCAAGGAAACCCCAGAAGAAAGAAAATTAACAAATTTTAACAAAGTTTAGGGTTTATGGAGAAATGAGGGCGGATAATAAGAAATGGTGGATAAAATAAAAATGGGGGTTTAGCTAGGGTTTATTTGGAGAATTGATTAAAGGCCCGAATTTTGGTCCATGCTTTTGGAGGACGACAAGGGTTTTAGGCGGAACCTCTTATTGTTTTTTTTTTCTTCTTCTTCTTCTTCTTTCGGATTAAGATTAAGTCTCGTAACATAAAGAACTAAATCATTTTATACACTTATACAATTTGGTTTCGTTTAGTCATGTAATACAATTTGATTTGGTTTGTAAAATGTCTAACCAATTTTTATGTTTTCTACTCTCTATACTAGATCTAAAAGGTAATCGTCTCACAAAAAAGTTAAAATAAAAACACTTTGACTATGATAAGGCAATGCATTTGTGACTACAATTGAGCATGAGTCGACATGAAGACACAAAAATGTCCTAATTTGCTACAAGCTCACTGAGCCCAACACGAAACGAAGGACAATGCAAGGTAAGCCATGGGTCGTTCGTAAATATCAATTTCAAAATTTGGCATGACGTTAACATAGTGGACTATCGCTTTGTTTTTTTATTAATTTTCGTAACATGTCAAAATTAAACTTAAAAAATGTCCGCTGACACGTACAAACACATTGGTCAAGGTATCATGCCGCGTATAAACTAGGTTTAAAAGATCAACACAAACATAACATATTATGAATTTCTTACGACTTTAATTAAGCACAATTCCGTCCCAAAAATTAAAAAATTTAAGCACAACCCGGTAGCATTTCACATGGGCTTGCCCAACCCATGCACACCTTTTTTGCGACTCCGCAACAAGAAGCAAAAGCCCCCCTTCGGCCTTTCTTTCCCAACTTGAGTATTCAGCACTCCTCTTCTCTGCAAAACCCTAAAATTAAAATGAAGTTAAACCCTTTTACTTGACAAAAGTTTCCCAGAAGAAGAACAACAATAGAATAGCTTACCATGGAGGTACACTCAAATCAACCTCCATTAATGGCGTCAAAGTCTATTCTTTAACTGGCCATCAATGTTCTCTTGCAACCTAGCTTAACCCCAAGAAACAGCGTGCTCTCCGCAAAGACACAGGTACCTCTTCAATCTTAAATTTGTGAAATTCGCATAATTTATGTTATTATTATTTGAATTGTTGATGAATATGTTTGTTGTATTAATTAAATTTGCAAAATTTGTTGTTCAGAGTATTTGCAAAGAGTAGAGTTGATTCAGGACTTGAACTTCGAAACCGCAACCACCAAAATCAAGGCCACACCTGATGGAGAATTTCTTCTTGCTTAAGGTAGGTCATCTAGGAATTGCATTACTGGAATGGAATTTTCGTCATTGATCGAATTAATTAATGTGAGCTGACCCCAAATTATTTTGAGACTATGTCTTTGTTTTTGTAGATCGAATTAATTAATTTTAGCGGACACAAAATCATATCGGGACTAAGGCTTTTGTTGTTGTTGATTGAATTTATTAATGTTGTTGAAAATCAATTATAGGTATATACCCTCCACAAGTTAAGGTGTATGAGTTAAGGGAACTTTCCTTGAAGTTTGAAAGACACTTGGTTTCTGAAATTGTTGATTTTGAGGTACTTTTCCATTGCTTCATTTGCATATTGTTTAGCTTATCGAATATGAATATGAACACCGTTGTAATAAATCATACTTGGGATGATATTCGTGGTTGAAACGAAACAGGTGCTGTTTGATGATTACTCTAAGATTGCATTTATGTGTGCTGATCGCTCTATCTGTCTACATGCTAAATATGGAAAAGTGAGGATTCCTAGGTAAGCTACCTCTTACTAATTGCATGTATCTTTTTCGTTGAATGAATTCATAAAATCATATTTTGGTATTTTCGGCACTATTGGCATGGTACATGAAAAGAAACAAGTCTTAATGCGAGGGAATAATATTAAAAATAATCAAATATCAATTACATTGCTAACTTATGGTTTCTAACGGGCAAAGTCAGCTGGAGTTTCCATTTGTTAACTACTTAACTGGGGTGCAATAATTTGGGTTTTTGCTGATTTGCATTTTGTTAATGTTGTTCAACCTTTTATTGACAAATTTAGCCTTCATCTTTTGATCACCATTTGAAGTTCTATGAAGGAACATCACCTGAATGTCTCATTTTCTTTCATTATCATTTTAACTACACATGTGAAAACAAATTGCAGTTACTTGATCACTGTGTTTCCATTGACTTTCATATGTTAATATGTTTATTTTTGGATATAGCTAAACTTCATTGCGTCTTATGAATAGGATGGGAAGGGATATGGCATATGATTCATGGTCTTGCGATTTGCTCTGTGCTGCCTCCTCAACAGATCTTTACAGAATAAATTTATCGCAGGTTTGCCCTGATTACCCTTAATTGATATGTGGTTGACAGGCTGCCTTTGCTTCATTGTAAATTTCAGTGTCAATTATTACTGTAACTGGTGTTTAAAATGTACTTTTGCATTTGCCATTATTTGTAATGAGGAGAATCCTTATATGGATTGCATTTCCTACCATCAATATCACCCAAACAACCGGTGACCATAGATTGCGAAGTTTCTCTCAGAGACTGGGTTTATGGTCTAGACTCGAATAAGGTGATTAATTACAGAGGCGTGAAATGGATGAAATGGATGTATGTTAGGACCACATTTGAACTACATTTACTTTTTATGTCAAGGCATTTTTTTTGGTTTGTTTTCGTATTTGTTTTTCACCCTTAGCTTAGTATCTACTAGACTGCTTGTTGAATAATCAGCCACACAAGCTTTTTCCAATGATTGGTTCATGGTTCCTTCTTTCAAAATAATCACATGAATACCTGACCATATCACTTTACTTATGCTTTATAGTAAGTTATTTTATTAAGGAATTGTTACGGGGCAGGGCTTGTGTGCCACTTTTCAGAGCTTCATGTAAACCATTTAGAGAGGAAGTTAGGGTATTGCTTAAGTTTGTGGATGAAGAATGCTTGAGCACAATGAGTATATGACCAAGTGACCATTACATTCCCTAAATGATGAAATTATTTTTGTAATTGGAAAGCTGATGATGCTTTAGAAAAACAATCTATCTAGTATAGAAAGGTTAGCTTTTCTTGTCTAGCTGATCTACCTATCTTGCTCTTAAGCAGAGTTGTGTATAACTGTATATGTTGAATGAATACTAACATCCAATACCAGAAAGTTCATATACTTGCGTATTGGATTCTTGTATTTGATATACTCCCTACATTCCAATTTAGTATGCCTACTTATCAAAGTACATATTGTTAGGAGGTGTTTGATTTTCAATTATTATTTCTAGTAAAAAACTAGATGTGATGGGAGATAGTGGGGTATAAATTTATTCGAAGTATATGACAAGAGAGATAACTGGTGGGCCAAGGGTAGAGGGGAGAAGTACTACAATAATTGTTGGCCCTTGCCAAAAATAGGAATAGGTTGGGATGGACTTAAAAGGAAAGTAGGAAAACTAAATTGGAACGTTGGGAGTATGTCTTAAACATCCTTTTTCTATGAAGGGGAAAAAAACTGCGAAAATAGAAAACACTTATAAATGCGAGTAACAAAAAAAAAAAAAGGATAATACAAACAATACTCCATATTTTAACATTTTATAATTCTATATCTTTGTAGCAAATATATGGGTTTACATTCTGATTGTACTTTAATACTTCCTCTTTTTTTTTTTATTTAGATGCATCACTTATATAATTGCGGACTCCTAGGCAATTTTTGGAGTAGAGAGAGAATGAGGGAAAAACTTCTATTTTTAAAAAGTGATGCATTTAAGTTAAAACTTCTATTTTTAGAACACAAGTACTAAATGCAGTACAAAATAACCTAAATGCAGGAATTTATTAATAATAGGGAAATAACAAAAGACTAAGATACCGTTATTCAATTTTTAGATTCCAATATCCCATTTTAACTTGAACGTAAAATTCAACCTAAAAAATTCTCCATTTCTACGGTTCTACCTCTACTAATCCCACAATTTTGTGCTAATCCCACGAAATTCACATTCATCTTCCCTCCTATCTAAGGTAATTTTTATGTGTATTGTTTACCCCCGGAAAATAAATCCGGGGGGTATTGTTTACCCCCGGAAATCATATCCGGGGGGTATTGTTTACCCCCGGAAATCATATCCGGGGGGTATTGTTTACCCCCGGAAATTATATCTACCCCAGAAATCTAAACCGGTAGGTACTGTTGACCCCTGGAAATCAAAACCGGTAGGTATTGTTGACCCCCCGGAAACAATACCCGGCACCCTGTTACATGCTCCCGAATAAAACGTTCTGTACAAGATGGAAATTTTATTTTGTTTGATTATTCATCTATAAATTAGATTTTGCGGAAAAAAAAAAAATTACAGCACATAATTTTCATACCTCAAAAAATCGTTGTAGTGCTCTTCATTATTGTCCATGAATTTGTATAGTATTGGTTATTAAATAGGATGAAAGGTTGAATACGGTAGAATATGGTTGTAAATTAAACAGTAGGGATGATTATATAGTTAAGAGTGTAAAGGATTAAATTACAACAAGGGCAAAATTGGAATATAAGCTTCTAATAAAAAATGGAGGAAGTAATATATCTTTAGTCTGCAACCTATTTCGAAATTTAAATTTCAATTCAGGTATCATG